TACATTCTGTTAATCAAAAGTTTCAATAATCATAAAGGCTTTCTTGTTGATCGTCTTAATAGTAACAGTTTCCAGGATCCAAGGGGAGCAAAAGAGAGAACAATTTTCTGTGTAGCTAGGTAAGGCGACATGCCGGCTTTATACTTCTTCCGGCGTGATAACGATAATGGTGACAACAATGGGCAAAAAGCACCGTCCGCTAATGATGACGATTATCATAGTTATTAACAAATCTCAGTTATAGTCCTGAAAAAAATCTCAGGGGGTCCTTTGAACAATCCACTTAATCTCGCCAGAAGTCAAAGTTGCCTACACTCATTCTAAGGTTTGTGCGATTTTACGACGAATTTTCAATTCCGGTGCGTTACATGCGCGACTTTTGATAGAAAAAACCTGCACGCGCCATAACTTAAAAGAACGTGTCAGCGGAATGAATCAAATCTCTATCACTTTGCATACATTCTTGGGAACAGAAAAAATTATTTAGAGCAAACATTCTAAGTAAAGTGTTCATTCCGTGCAATGGGGCATAAATAAAAGGTTCTGGTGGAAAAGACACTTTATTTTATACCTCTGATGACAAGCAAAAAGGTTATATGGGTACCCCGGTTAAAAATATATTGATAACTCTATTTAATTAATACCAGTTCTAATTTAAAGGAGAAAGTTATGAGAATAAAATAAAAGTTGTCTATACACTAAGCATGCCTTCACTGTTTAGACTGATAGTCCTAGAGCTTTTTGAGGATATATTCGAATATCTTATGACGATAAGCCCGCCACCCACCCCACCCCGCGCTATGCTGTTTTCACTGCGCGGCTGGTCAGCGGTCACGTTTATGAGGTAAACAAACCGATCGATTCCTGATCACCGTTCTTGTCGATCGGAAAGTCAAAATACCAGCGTGATATTGCCGCGAAGATGAAGCAGTTATGTTACTTGATTTGTACTTCACATTCGAGTCGAAGCTTGGGTGGCACAGGCTATTTCTTGCGGTGGAATCGACGAGGGGAATTCGAACACTAGTTGTAGTGTTTGAATTGTTGGAAGAAATGGTCGCATGGGGATGGTAAGTTTAACGAACAATTTCAAATTTTGCCGCTTGAATTGAAAGTAAAGTTCATTTGAATTGCTTTCGTATGTATTTCTGACGGTTTTAAATCTACCTGCTTGATTTATATCGGTTACGCTTCATGTTGACAAGTCCCAAATGGCGGCCAAACTTGGAGATTGCCGAAAATTAGGTAAGTTCACAGAGTTATAAAGTTCTCGTAAAGGTCGGGCCGCAAAGTTTTTTACTGTAAATACCTTTTCTATGGCACCTACTTCCTAGCTATGTTAGTTGGATCAGTTAAGAACGCCTCACTTTTTCAAAAATTTACCTTGAATTTGATCGGTTTTGGCGTGTGTGATTTAAGCTAACCGATGAGGTGTCATTCAAGTCTTCCTGTTTCCTTGATTGACACGTGATGGTTACGGAAGTCGCCTCGATAGATAAGATAAAGTTAATATACATGGCTGTGGTATTTGTTTTTTGCTGAGTTCCGTAGGTTTTTGTATATTGTCCTCCAAAGTTGTATGAAATTAAAGTCTTGAAAAGTGTCACGACAAGCCTTCGCTCTAGGGAAATTTAATTTCCGTAAAACTCTGAAAAATAAAGAGATCCGATCAAACTGATTGTGGTTTTAGTATAGGTACATGAATGTCTTACAACACACGAGAAACGAGCGAAATCCGTGTCTCAAGCAAAATCGACCGGACTGCTCTTACAGAGACACTCTCTTAAACACGCTGAAAATCTGCGAGCGAAACAATGGTCGGAGTTCTAAGTAGGTTTTCTTTCGCCACCGAAACAACAATCTTGTAGCTGAAAACGGCTCTAACAACGAAAAGCACCGCTTTTTGGTTGTCGGATTAGAAAAAGTGGTGATCAGTGGAGGGAATTGCCAAGGAAATCGAAAATTAGGGGCTTAACACTTTGCTCGAGCGATTCTACGCCGAAATTAAAAACAAACATGGTTAAACCTCGCAAACGACGATTTCATTTCGTTGAAAGTGATTCAGACACAGACTAAACAATTCCTTGAACTTTTAAACCGGGCTTGAACTTTTCTGCGCCTTAAAGATGTGAAAACATCTTTGTATTTTATTGTTTAGATCGTACGCGGTTGTTTTGACCGAACGCACAATGTCATTTGTAGGGTTTGAATAAATTATTTTTGCACTTGATGCACGCGCTTAGCTTCTGCATAATTATAATAATCTATCTCGTAGTTTTTCATTTATATTATTAATACGTAATCACATGATTTTTCCCGTAAATAAGCACTTGTAAATTTTGTAAAATTTTCCAAAGACCACAAATTGCAGTCACCCTACGGGCTCGTGCAATTTTTTAGTCTTTAAAAAAGTTCATGTGATTACCTATACTTATATACAAACTTTACTTGCATGACTGACACTACTTATATAATGAGGATCAATTGAAAATCCACCATAATAAAACTTCTAGCATTAATACCAATAAACACTAACAGCTTGCCTACTGATATACACTGGCATAAATGACTAAATCATGGAAATCATATATGTGAACTGCGGTGAAAGAGATAAGTATGGAAGCGACCTTCGCAGCATGGAACACAACTTAAGCAGTGGTGAAATTAAGGCCTGAAGAAAAGTCGGAATATCTCCATAAGGTGTCTGACGTCTACAATAACAATTACTTAATGCAATGCCTAAAGGTAATTTACGCAAATGGAAATAGATCTCTAATTCATAAACGTGAATTGTCTCCGTGGTACATCCGTCACATAGAGTCTTGTTCCAGCCGAGAAGCGTCTTACATTCTAGTAACGCGGTGCACGATTTTACACTTTGGTACTTTTGCAAAAGCAGTTTGGCAACATGTCTCGCATCTTGTCTCTTGGTACCTTCACTGTGCTGTGCTCTCTGATGTGTGTTGTGAAATGTAAGGAAGATGGGTAGATTTTTTTATTAATATCAGGGAAAATTTTTAAAACTGGAAATTTATAGTGCGTTTGAAGCAGGAATAAACGAAAGTAATTCACTTCGAATGCTCTATTGTGACTATTACCAAAATTCCCAAGTTTTCAAAATTTTCTACCTTCTAATAGGAGAGTAAAATGTTTATAAAGCCATTATGAGGATATGTAAATCTCCTAAAAGACAGGTGGGATCTACCTGACGCAAGCTGTTTTAGGCAGGCGGTTGGGATAAAAGGATCATGCTATAAAATTCTGCACAAATTCATGTTGCGCTCTTTTCAATTTGTTAATATGCTTTGACGCTGAATAAAAAACTCCCTACTTGTCGCTCACAAAATTTCATAAGATGACTATGGAATTTAGTCAGCTAAAGTGAAGCTTAATCATCCATTTTTCTCTCAGCATATTTACACAACGAAATAAATAAATATAAAATTTCAAAAACCTCCCCCGAATATCTAATTAGTCCTTTAACTGTCGTTTTGAAAATGATTTTCGATTAGGATCAGAAGCAAATATGTAGAATTGTAAAAACGGTCGAAATGTCGGCACAACCTTTTTATCGCGTGAACTTCCGTCGAATACATCTAAATCTAAATTTAGAGATAGCTCCTTCTGAAAAAAATGTAAACGTTTTGTGGTTTCAAATTCACGGGTAAGGAATAAGTTTCGATTAAACAACGAAATGTCCTTCAGTTATCTAGAGACTGGAATTCTTAAGGAACACAATCATCTCGAAAGAAATAACCGAACATTATCATTATTGTCTGTATTCTACACTGACATAATGAACTTGGAAAAACACTGGGGAAGTTGCCCCCTAAATTTTTCTCCAATCTACATCCTAGATCCTAAATTGCTCGTCTCGATACTAACTTTTCGTGTTTTGAAATGCCAATTCTTCAACAAAATTTGCATCTTTTTCCTTTGACAGGTACAGAATTGAAGATTCACCTATCGATTATTTACAAAATAAATACACTTATGCCTTAATTAAAATCAGCCCCATGTTAAAAGTTTGTTGACTTCTGCAAAGTAGTTGAAAACAAGAGCTCAAATTATCCCATAACTCATCACTGAGATACAAGAGGCGACGCTTTAAGAACGCACTTGAAAATTATAAAATGGAACAAATCTTTTTCAAGGCGATGTCTGTTGCAATCCTCCTTGTTTAAGTCTCTGAAAATAAAAACAAAAACACAACAAAACACTACAAAACAAAATTATAAATTTCTCCCTGTAAACATATAAATAAACTCTTTCAATAGGATAAGTTTCGATATTTATTTAAAAAGAAGACAAAACAGAAAGCTTTAAGCCTCTCCTGGGAAACCATACAAGTTACACCTGCAGCCACTTCCAAAACAGCGCACTGCATAGTGGTACATACAACACAATCTAAGAACAGCGAACCTACGTGAGAATTTCGCAATTCTAAAGAAGTGCCCTAGAAAGCTCGACTATCTTATATTCGAGATCCTCCTTATAAAAAAAGAAAAGACCGCACATTAACCTTACAGAACATTACTCAATATCGTAGTATTCAGTCATGGCTTGTAGTTTTGCTTGATCTCAAGTTCTGTTTAGAAAATGAAGGTAAATTAAATGTATCGTTTTTCTTGTTTCTTTTTTTCTTCATTTATATTCTAACTTTACTTGCGACACTGAAACTACTTGAGTTATGAGAATCAATTGAAAAGTCACCATAATAAAACTTCCAACATTAATACCAATATACACCCACAGCTTGCTTACTGATATACACCGGCATAAATTACTAAATATATGAAAATCATATATGTGAACTGCAGTGAAATTGATAAGTATGGAAGCGACCTTCGAAATATTGAACACTACTTAAGCAGAAGTGAAATTAAGGCCTGAAAAAAGTCAGAATATCTCAATAAGGTGACTGACGTCTGTCATAACAATTACTTAATGCAATGCATAAAGTTAATTTACGTAGATGGAAATAGATCTCTAATTCATCGACGTTAATTGTCTCCGTTTTACATCACATTGAGTCTTCAGGAGCTCCAGGCGAAAAGCGGCTTGCATGCAAGCAACGCGGTGCACAACCTTACATTTTGGTAATTTGGCGGGAGTAGTTTTGCAACATGTCTCGCATCGTGTCTCTCGGTACCTTCATTATGCTGTGCTCTCTGATGTGTGCTATGAAGTGCGAAGAAGGTGGGTAGATTTTTTAATCAGTATAAGGAGAAAGTTTTTAAAACTGTTATTTTATAATGTGTTGGAAGCGGGAATAAACAAAACAATTCATTGCGAGTGTTCTATTGTGACCATTACAAAAATTCCAAGGTTTTCAAAATGTTCTACTTTCTTATAGGAGAGTAAAATGTTTATAAAGCTATTATGAGGAGACGTTAATCGTCAAAGACAGGTGGGATCTACCTCACGCAAGTCTTTTTAAGCAGGCGGTTGGGATGAAAGGATCATGAATTTTAGGCTATAAATGCACTCTCTTTAATTTGTTAGTATGCTTTGACGCTGAAGAAAAATTCCGTAAGTGCCGTTATTTTCATGAGTATGACTATGAATTTAGTCAGCTAAAGTGAAGCTTAATCATCCATTTTTCTCTCAGCATATTTACACAACGAAATATATAAGTAGAAATTTCAAAAACCTCCCCCGAAAGTCTAATTAGTCCTTTTACTGTCGTTTTAAAAATGATTATCGATTAGCATCAGAAGCAAATATGTAGAATCGTAAAAACGGTCGAAATGTCGACACAACCTTTTTATCGCGTGAACCTACGTCGAATACACATAAATCTAAATTTAGAGATAGCTCCTTTTGAAAGAAATTTACACGTTTTAAGGCTTCAAATCCACTTGTAAGGAATTAGTTTCGATTAAACAACGAAATGTCCTTTAGTTATCTAGAAACTGAAATTTTTAAGGAACACAATCATCTCGAAAGAAATAACTGAATTTAGTTTTGTCTCATCTTTTTATTATCGTTATCTGTATTCTACACTGACATAATGAACTTGGAAAAACACTGAGACTTTCATGAAAGCTGCGCACAAAATGTTTCTCCAATCTACATCCTAAATCTTAGACCCTAAATTGTTTGTCTCGATACTAACTTTTCGTGTTTTGAAATGTCAATTCTCGAATAAAATTTGCATCTTTCCTCTTTGACAGGTTCAGAACTGAAAAATCACCTATCAATTATTTACCAAAAAGTACACTTATGCCTTAATTAAAATCAGCCCCATGCCAAAAGTTTGATGACTTCTGCGAAGCGGTTGAAAACACGAGCCATAACTCATCAGATACAAAAGGCGACGCTTTAAGCCTCGAAAACACGAGCCATAACTCATCAGATACAAAAGGCGAAACTTTAAGCCTCTCCTGGGAAACCATACAGGTTGCACATGCAGTCACTTCCAAAACAACACACTGCATAGTGGTACATACAACACAATCTAAAGAAGTGCCCTAGAAAGCTCGACTATCTTATATTCCAGATCCTCCTTATAAAAAAGAAAAGACCAGACTTTAACCTTACAGAACATTACTCAACATCGTAGTATTTAGTCATGGATTGTAGTTTTGATTGATTCTAGGTTAACTTTACCAATTCATGTAAGACCATAAAGTCTAGGGAGGGCCAACCACCCTCGTTAAGTTTAGGCAACGACACGATTTCGAGTGCACTTTAGTGTAAATAAGCACGAGTATACTTTTCAAAGACAACAAAATTGCACTTGCCCTACGGGCTCGTGCAATTTGTAGTCTGAAAAATTTACAAGCACTTATTACACCAAATTGCAGGGGGAATTATGTTATTACTTGCTATAATGTACATGAAAAAACATCGCAGAAGGTCAAGAAAGACGAAATTTTGAAGCGTGAGTGCGCTATTTGTAACTTTCACTCGTGTTACAACTTTGGAGCGCGTAACTTTTTCATAATCATTATTGATAGAGTTATTTAATTATAACACTTACCAAGACCTCATTCGGGTGAAATGATTTGTATGAATACAAAGCGTACTTTCAAGCTTTGTTCTCATAAAAGAAATCATTTATGTACCTTAAAATTTCTGTGCATATTTACATATAGTACATCAATTGTGCCAATCCCTTTCAATTTTGACAATGAAAACAGGATATTATCGAAACGTCATGTTATGCTTTTTTCGTTGATTTAAATTCGTACACTCTTTGTATTAAGTTGATTGCAGTTTCCTTTACCAATTTCTCTACCTCCATCCCTTCCCTACTTTACACCTTTACTACTAAATCCGGTGTCCTTGTCACATAGAGCATTCGCTTGTAACTAGTGGTATCATGTTCTTCCTATCGGAAAATATATTATTCATCATTCTTTTCTATAGGCCAATGTCGTCAACTGGAGTTCAGAGCTGCCCTTGCATTTCGAGGAAAACGGCTGCTTAACCATAAGATAAAAGAAGTTGACAACGTCGCAAAGGACTTCTGTGGAGCATTGTGTTTCATAGAACCCAACTGTATCAGCTATAATATACTAGTATCCAATGATTCTCCCTCGATCACCAAATGCGAGATGAATAACGCTACACATTTTGAACACCCGAGTGATCTGATGTCATTTCCAAACAGCATCTATCGTGGATCCAAGGTGTGTTTATAGCTGCAATGATTAGGATAACCGCAGAGTTCTTCTTTTGGCCTATCCGTATGTCTTTGACACAATTCAAATTTTTACTGGTTTATTCACATCTTTTTTATTTTGACTGTAAATGTATAAGAACCATATTTGTGAACTGCGGTTAAAGAAATGAATTTGAAAGCGATCTTCGCATTAATAAACACTACTCAAGCAGTAGTGAAAATAAGGCCTGAAAAAAATTCAGTCTTCTCTTAGCTAACAAGCCAACTGGGAGCTGGTCCACAGTTCATAGATATGATTTTCATAAATTTACAGTTATTTATTCTTCCCCTCACAGGTTGCGTAGACTTACGTTGTAAGTTGCGTAGACATAGCCCTAACTTGTCCTTTTTTGCTTCTTTATAAAGAACGCTTGCATAAAGAAGCCATGCCCAAGTAATGCGATCTGCCAGGCTGGTTTTTCCAGTGAGGGGTATAGATGTGTCTGCTTACCGGGTTACGCGGGTGAAGATTGCGCAGAAGGTGAGGCAGATATCTAAGTGTTAGCAGTCACTTAACGACTAGGAAAGTCGGTGACCGTTTGTTTTATTTTAAGTCTTTAGTACTCTCGTCGTGCATTTATTTTCGCGTCGAGGATAATGAAGGACCAGCAGTAAACTGTGAGAAAAACCTGAGGAAACGTCAGGGGAGGGGGGTGGGGGAATGTTGGCTACAGGTGGAAAAACATTTATCGATGGAATAGCCTTATTGCCGCTTTCCGCGATGGAGACCTGGTGAACCCCAGCTGCAACGCAATCCAGCCAGTAACTCGACGCGTTTACTGTTTCTGACAGTGCGACATCTTCTCTTGAGTTCAAAGTAAAACGTGATTAAATTGCTGCGAAAGTTTCCCCGCTCGGAGGACGTGAAAGTTAGTTATTTCACGTTTTTTTTTCTTGTATGAGACAGCTAAGAAAAGTACAAGTTTTATAACGCACGTGCTACGTTATTTTTTTGCTCATTAGCTCTTTGGTTCGCTACGTCTACGGTCTACGTTCTGAAAATCCCTGGTAAAAATAAAGAATAGCGGACCCTCACTCATTGTAAGATATGAATTATTAGTTGTCTGTGCAGGGCAGAAAATCGAAACCTTAGTAATTGAATTACTTCAAAATTTTACCTTTAAGACGTTGATGAGTGCAGTCTGGGAGAACACAAATTTGATTCAAATGCTGAATGTAGAAATAACGTTGGATCCTACAGCTGCAAATGTAAAGAGGGATTTTCAGGAGATGGCCAAACGTGCACAGGTGGGTGTTGACTATTATCCATCAGCAATTCTACACAAAAGCCGCACCGCATTCCTGTCGTAACACGAAAAGGTCTATGTATGAGTCCTTTTCTTCAACTTTTGCATGCTTGTTCATGTGCCATTTATTTTATAGTTTGAATGGCAGGTACAGCTTAGATTATAAATAGCGAAGAAATTAGCTATTTGAAAATAAAAAAATGTTTAGAAGCTCATGTAATCTTTTGGCGTTATCCATTCCACCGGGCCTCTTATCAATGTCTTGCTGTGATTTTCAGATATCGACGAGTGTGCTTTGATAAATAATAATTGTTCCAAGGGTGGCGCCAATTGCACAAACACTCTGGGGTCATTCAACTGCACCTGCCAAACTCAATATTTCTGGAATGGAATTGAATGTGAAGGTTTGTTTTCTGTATCTATATTTGATAAAATTTTTAAACCAATTAGAAATAGCCGTCTTTCTGACAGTCTGTCTGGTTGTCTGAGCCTTCATTTTTTCGTCTTTTGGTGTGTCCATATGTTCGTCATTCTGCATTTCTTTTGAAACGTTGGAATAGGCCAATTTCGAATTCTCGGACATTAGTGATCTGGTGCCGAAATTACGGCGTGAAAACGAGGCTAAGAGCGAAGTCGCCCTCATCGGTATACAGAATAAAGAGCTGTGCTAGTGAGCGAAAATTTCCCGAAATTCGGTGTTGGAGAGTGAAAAATTATTTGTGGGCGAGAAGTTTAGTGATGGCGGCAGAGTAAGAAAAAAAAGCCGAACTGTTCAATTTAAGCAAGAAAACTGATCAAACAAGTCGCTTCTACAAAACACCTCGCAATGAACGAGAGAGACTTCATAAATTCACAACTTGCTTGCACTTTTGATAATTTTTCAAGCCAACTTTTTTTGACCTGGCTAATGATTCCCCCTTTTTGCCCTCGTTTATACGCCCTGATCGAAATACCGGTCATCGCCAAAATTCATTTTCGATTCTGGTGTGCCCTTCAATACAAGGGTGACGGGATTCTCGTCGTAAAAAATAATTTAGGGGACCGGCGCTCGCCCTATATTCAAACTATTCTTTCAAGAAAAGAAGGTAATTGGAAAGTCAATGCCGAGCTGGTTCAAAACTTTCCGTATGTTTTACACAACATAGTCGCTGTAATGTATCATGTGCCCGCTTTTATTAAAAAGAGGGTGGTAATAATGGATAAATAATCCTAATGATGAATGATGATGATTTCTTGCAATCAAGGTCAAACTAAAAAAAATGTGATTATCATTTCCTTTTTGAACTACAATTAACTTTCTAGCCGACAACTGTTATAACTACTCAACTCTGAGTGACGCTGACAGAAAGAGGACTTTCGTTACACCCTTTCATGGTGAAGTTTTGTGTGATAAACTGCTACTTGAGAGGTGGTATCGTTTTGAGGGAGATGCAGGGACAAGAATGCCAACAACGCCAGTGGATGATAATCACTGTAATACAGTCCGCTCAGGCTGGTTGAATGGCGCTCAACCTACAATGGGAGATGGTGAAGTAATTAGGACGGTCTGCTTCACCAGAGGTAGTAACAAGTGCAGTCATTCAAAACAAATCAAGATGAAAAACTGTGGATCCTACTTTATCTACAAACTGGGTCCACCTCCGATTTGTAATTCTCGCTACTGTGGCACAGACTAAACATGAATTAGATAAATAGGAAAATGTTGCAAGTGAAGATCCCAGTGAGCATAATTTGTTGTTTCTAATTCTTCTAAAATTTAAACTGGTTCTGTTGCGTTGCTATGTGCAGTAATTTCAGAATGATAGTCTGATTTACTCCAATATACTACCATTTAAGCTGACGTAGAACATCGGTTCATTGTATGTTATTAATGTGTTTGCCAGCCCGGTCGAAATCTCTTTAAACGTTCGCCTGAGCCGCATTTCAACGTACATAGTCATATGTGGTCATTTGCCTGCACTAAAAATGAACTTAAGCTAATTTGCGTTAAAAAGACATGATCGACATGACCAAATCGTTGACGAAAGAAGACGCAAAGACCCTGGTACTTCATATTCCTTTTTCAAAAATAGAGGTCAGAAGGGATTGTAATTAGATTGCTTTGGTATAAATAAGTGTTTTTATCCAGTGTTTAAGAAGGAAAAAGACTGTACTTTCGGTGTCGTATGTGCTGCATGAAAAAGCACATCAAATGCCCCAACAACAATCATTCACTGATGGTGCCTCTTAATGGCGAGATAATTCTGCTTTTGTTTAGACCTTTAGCGACAAAATAGTTTTCTCTGACTTAGGCTATTACAGTTCCAACATAGAAACTACTGATAGATCTCATTTTTCTGTTTAAGCAAGATTGTTAGCTCTGAAATCTGGCAAAAAGTCACGGCATCACTTAAAAAAAAAATTAAATAAAGGTTTGATAACTGCTTGTTCCTTTTTTTCATTTTCGAGCTAGTTTAAGACCCCGACTGTTATTATTCGCTGCGCCAAAAAACAGTAGTCGAAACACCGTAATACATAAACCCAATGGACAAAGCAAAATTTCCGGATAAGAGATTTGTCCATTGCGTTCAGAACGGTAAAGTCACTCTTAGCTTAAGATTAAAGCGTCTATAGAGACATTAACACGCATACTCTTAGCTTCCTATAACATGAATGTCGGATAAATGTAAAGATAACATAAATGTCTGAGATTTAGAGGATCCGTATAAAACAGATTTTTTTCCTAACAAAACATACAGGGATTTGATTTGCTTTCCGTAGGGAATTAGCGAGGTACCCGTATCACAAAGGTGTTCGTAGGGAGAGGTTCAGCCGCACCTTAAAAACATTTTGAATCTAACAAAAAATATTTTCTCAGTATTTTTATAACATGAAAGGTACGAGTCACCACATATAGGGTAAGTCTTTTTTAGTCAATTCTGTGTATTTGGGTTTTTTCTGCTCTCCTGACCCCTCTCCTATAAGTTAAATGTTTTAAACAGTTTTCGAAAGGAATGCTGGGATGTCGAATACTGCAGCCTACGTGAATAAAGATCATAGCAAACAAATCTAAAATTGAGCGAGATTCTCTCTCTTTTACGGGAGGAAAAAATGCAACCGGCCAGTTAACATGTACATTAAAATAAAACCTCACATGCGTATATCTTCAATTCGTCGTATACCGTTGGAGTATTTTGAGGCATAGTTTTAAGACCTACGGGGATTTCAACTAACGCTGGAACTTGGCTTGCATGCTAATTTCGTGCATGCATTTCATTTCACGATAACATTTCGCTTTCAGCTATGTTAAAGAATACAAAAACTAATTTAATCCATGGCTCAAATAATTTATTTAGACTTTATCTGGGTAAAACATTAAACACATGCCACATACTTTTAATTTTGAAGGCCCTGTTTATGTAAGTTCAGGCTGTATTTCAGCATTGAATGGGTCAAAAAAACACAATTTAAAGAAGTGAAATGCGTTATTTCTCTTTATTATAACAGTTTTCAGACAAAACTTGTCTGCAAGACAAAACTAAATGTAGTGGAAGACTCATCGAGGTAAAAGTGTTACAAACATTTCAGTACCACCTTTAATTCTAGAAAAATGGTGACTGCATCTTTTTTTTCTTCATTTGTACAAAATTAATAATGATAAAGGGACAGAGAGGAGCCCTGTTCAGTTTGTAATCATACGAGTGATAACAAAATCGAACGATTACGCAGCGGAAGTCCCATTTTTTATCACGAGTATGATTACAGACTGAGTTGGACGACACGAAGTTTTATTATCCATTAATCAAAAAAATTATAATTTCCGAGAAAAGGAGAATAACCAAGTTATCAAAGAAAAGAAAAAAATGGTTTAAAAGATTGACAAAGGAGGCGTAAATTAATTAATAGTTGTGACTGGTTGATTTAAACTACACCTTTGAAAGTGATTGGCTTGTTGAACTGTCCGATAACAAACTGTCCGATAACAATTTAAAAGTGAATTAGTGGAAAATATTAATTTTCTCAACCAATCACAATCGAGGGAAATGTAATTTTTGTAATTAAAACATTTACATCACTAACATAACTTACAATGCTAACACTACCTAAATAATGAGAATTACTCAATAAACAGGCCAAACTTATACTACCAACTTGACATTAATACCTAACTTAAAAGCATAGCTTGCTTATTAACACTCACTGATTTACATACATTATTTTCACAAACATCTATTTTACCCGGTGTGTCAAATTTAAAATTTTGAAAACCTTACAATGGCAACACCGCTAACCAAAAAATTCAAATAAACGAATAAGACTTAGAAATAGAATAAAACAGCAGCATAACTGGAGATTTATGTATTTGTGACACTACACATGTTTATGTTAGTAAAAGCTATATACGATACTAAGAAATAAAAATCATTAACTTTTCCCAAATTTTCTGAAACGTGTGCGATGATTTGCTAGCAATATCAAAATCGTTGAATTTTTAAGTTTCCTTTCAATACAATAAGAAAGCTTTGGAAATTCACATCGTCAGCGCACTTGCTTGTGCAGAAAACGTAACATTTTACGACTAAAATGGAAATGTTTACAGCCTGTCACCCATACAAGATTTTATTGTACCGATAGTGTCACAAAGGGTACTCGTTGCTCTGAGAATGTAGGGAAAAGAAGAGAATGAGTCAATGCTCGCAGTGCTAAATGTAGCAGAAACGTAACGTAAGGATATGTATTCATTTTTGCGTCCTAGTAATAAAACTCCACCGACATGGAGGTTACTAATGGTGGATATTTACTGAGCTGTGAAGCTTCAAGGTGAATATCCACTACAAGCCACCGACACTGAGGTGAATAGTAGTTTTAATGTATACTGTTGGTAGAATCTAACCGACAGAAAGAACACCTTACCCCCAGAGACTCAACTACTTTATTAAAAGATGTGTAATATTCTTACTTAGAAGCGACTCCAATAAACAATACAGTAATTATCCTCAATAAACTCACTAAAACCCCTACAAACTATGACTCAGCTCTCCACAGACACAAATCCACAGTTTTCTATAAAGCTCCTTAAAATGAACAATCCTGCGCAGTAGCTCTCTCTTGGTATAGCTTTCCAAACGGTCTGTCACTCCCGACAGCAACAACTCTCAGTACTAGCTATAGACGAATGAGTCCCTATATATATCTGAAAAAAAATAAAGAACATTCCGAAAGCTTACAGCGCGACTTTTTTTTATTAGTATTAAATCATGACTATGTGAAAAGGTTCTAGACTTGGTTCCATGTTTTGCATATTCAGATTGTCCATTCTCCTGTTTTGAAAAGTTGCTGAAACCGAGTTACATTCAAGCACTTACCATGAACAAGCCCATTACAGTCTTAGGAAACCTTAACTGTAACGTCTTAAAGGAGAGCCCAGAGAGAAAAGCTTTGTCTAATTTCTTGTCTGAGACTAACCTGAAGCAGATAATTACAACACTAACAAGGATAACAGACAGCTGCCAACCTCTTATTGATGTTAATTTAGTCTTATCTCCTGACCTCGTCCATGCGCGTGGCGCTACTAACACTCCTATTAGTGATCACTTACCTGTGTATGTGGAGTTAAAGCTGAAACTCCCTAATCCTCTACCATGTTATATCTTAACAAGGAGTTAAAAGCATTATAACCCCGGTCTGTTTACCGCAGACCAAGTTTCTTTCGATTTTTTCAGAGGAAGAAATAAATTTCAAACTTGCAACGTTTAATGTCACTTTTCTTTCCACACTAGACGCTCATGCACCAATTAAGTCGATCAGAATTCGCAGTCGTCCCTGCCCTTATATAACACCTGAAATTAAGGATCAGATAACCTTTAGAGATCAGCTCTTTCGTCGTTATCGACAAAGCCGATATGCAGACGCCTGAAAGGCCTTCAAGGAAGCCCGGAGATGTGTAAAACGACTTCTTAAGAATGCCGAGTGTGACCACATCCGCAGAGAAGTCCAGTCACACAAAGATAACCCTGGATCTCTGGGGAAAATAATCAATACTTGTATTCCATCTATCAAAAAAGAAACTCCAGTCTATAGTAGAGACACTGAGCTAGTTACTAACGATTTCAACCAATTTTTCTCCTTTGTTGGGAGAAACGCTGCTCAAACTGCTGCACAGTTGGCCATAGACAACAACATCAATATTTCAGACACATGCCTAATTTCACCACCAACGACTAGAAACTCATCCGAGGAACTCTTTAATTTCACCCCTGTTACCTGTTACGCAGGTTGAACATATTGTATCATCTATGCCTTCTAATAAGTTTCCAGGCCCCGACAAAGTCAGCATGCGCATCATCAAAGACTGCTTTCCCGTTATCCTCGGCCCGTTGACAGACATTATCAACCGTTCTTTCGCAACTTCTACATTTCCAAACTCCTGGAAAGCGTCTGAGGTCATGCCACTACTGAAAGACGGAGATCACGAGGAGCCATCAAATAATCACCCCTATTCACCATCATAACACTAGAAACAGTGAATCCCTTGATATTTCTCAAAGCAAGACAAAGTCAGGCCAGCGATGTTTCCTCCATAGAGCAGTCAACATTTGGAACAATTTAGACAAAGACTTTAAACAGTTATCTTTAACATCATTAAAAAAAAGTTGAAAACGCACATGCAAGAGAATTATTTCAATTGACCGCTTTTTAAAATTTTATTAATTTTTTATTACAATGTTCTTTGCTGTTTAGTATTGGGAATACTAATAAAGTATGGGGAATACTTATAAAGTATGTAATGGAATGTAGTTGTGTTTTGTAAACAGACCCTTCCACGATATAAGGCAGGATGTAGTACCTTCAACACGTGGTTGATGCCATCTCTGCATGGTTGAGGTGCATGTTGCTGAACGGTATTCATCTGCCTCAAGTTGCAGTTCTGTGACACTTTTACAGTTATAAAGAGTGTAATTGTACACCTTTCACATCAAAGCTAGTACGTGTTTGCAAATCCGGATCTCCAGGAAGTATACGAGGGGCCACAATTTGCAAAAACAACCTCTCTAGAAATTAAACATAGAGCAATATTTAAATTGTGAGGACTTTCGTTCGTTTTAAAGCTATGAAAGTACTATTTTATTTATTTTATTTAATGGATTCGTACAAGCACAAGTACAGGTGCGTAACAATAGGACATAAGTCCCCTACTTGGTTAATACACCCACACCCAGCCCCGTAAAAAATATCCCGGAAAGAGATCCCTTCCCTGATCCGACTAAACTACAATTCAAATAATTGAAATAAATAAAAGAACGAAAATTGTCACCATCAAAAGCATTCAACAGTCTAGCAAAATAAAACGACTTGAGTTTACTTTTAAAAGAGCCTATAGTGTCTGAATCCTTGATATTTTGAAGTAAACTGTTCCGCATCAAAGTTATTCTGTTGAAGTAAAAGTCTCCAAAGGAAGACGTACGACAGGCATTTAACTTTAAGTGCAGCCCTGATGAAGCACGGCGCGTGTTGTCCTTTAGAAAAGAAAAACAATAACTAAATTCACGAGTGAAATCTATAAGCCCATGAAGGCACTTAAAAAAGAAAACTAAGTCAAGATATTCTAACTAGTAACTTAGCGGTAATAACTTAAGCTTGATTAAACGAGTAGCTCTCCTTCGTATGTTTTCAACAAGGATTAAATTGCTGGTACTTGACTGGGGGGCTCATAACTGAGAGCAAAAACAAAAATGAGAGCGCACTAAAGAGCAGTAAAGACGCAAAAGAACAATACTACCAACAATACCCTAAATCCCCTCAAGCAATAACAGAGTAGTAGCGACCGAACACCAAGGACTTCATAAAATCAGAGAAATGACCAACAAACTGATCGTTGTTTGGAGGACGATAACAATTAATTAATAAAATGCTGCGGTCGTATTTGAAGTTATTAATTTCGACAACAACCATCTCCAAGCTTGAGAAGTCGGACGGTACTTTAAGTTGAAATGAAGAAAGTGAGCTTTTGATCGCAGTCATAACGCCACCACCGGTTCAACCAACACGATCGCGTCTGTAGATGTTGTAAGCCGTAGGAAGAATCTCATGATCAGTAATTGCTTCATTCAACCAGGTTTCCGTCAAACAAATAACATCGAGATCATATCCATACGCTATGTTACGCAGGATACCAAGTTTAGATTCGTATGAAGATCCATCAACTAATTGAAAGGCCTTTAAACTTCTGACATTTTGCATAAGGCAACTCAAGGTTTTCTGATGCGGTCCAGGATTAGAAGACATGTCGCCACAGCGTACGAGGATCAGTCTATCCAGAGAAATAGCCAAACATAGACCGCCATGCTTGACAAACTTTACGAGTGGTCTGTTCAGCCTCGAAGATCCCTCTCTCGCAACGACTGCGTCATATAACTTAACTTGTAGAGTCAATTGAAGTCCCGATGTATTTAGACTTGGTCCTTGCCTCAAGAAAGATATATACAGTAAAGTTAAGTACAATAACAAGCAAAGTGAACGGAGCTTTGCTTTGAACGGAGCTTTAACTGATGATAATAAAAGTACTGATGGTCATAGTTTGTTTGAATATCGTGCAAATATTCATCTTCAAGGTAGTTTTTATCCTTTTTTTTAAGCTGTGGGAACAGAACGATATGCACGTTTATCTCCACTGGTACGCTTCCCAGACTTTCCAATATGTCTGTCCATCTCTGCCCTTGTCAAAAGAGGCACTTTTTCAAAAGATGACCCCTAGCCGTCCGATGGAATTTTCAGTTTCCATTGTGTCCAAGCATTTATGTCGCCCACTGACTTTCCTAATTAAGAATTTGTTCATGGTTAGCGTGCGTATATCGAGTTCTGGATCACGCAGGAAGTTTGGAGATCACGAAAAATGCGTAAGAGTAGCTGGAGGCGCAGCCGAGAGCAACTCTAGCTTTTTGAGTGCTCTCCAAACTTCCCAAGTGCATCCATAACTCGATATATGCACAGCTAAAAGCATGAGCAAATTCTTTTATAACAGAGCAACAACAAGAATCTACGCGAAGAAGCCTTTTATTGTGATTGTTTTGGTTTTGGTAGATTCTCAAATAACAACTGCGTATTTTATTCCCCAGGTTGAACAAATTTAAAAACGACAGTAAAAACGGAAATTTTACCTTTAAATGTTGTTAATGACCAATTGGTTACTTTTTTTGTTCCCAGTGAATGTCTGTCTTTCGGCCAAAATTTGCTGCAGCTGGTCTTCCGACAAATTTGCGAAACGTGCAACTTGAGAGTTTTTTTCGGCTTTATTTTTGTTCCTTGTTGGATCAGGACCTAAAAGGGCTCAACAGGACTTATATAGGGCAAGCACGCGCGCTATGTTGTAAATATGTAAAATATAAAACACTTGGGAGGTTTAACTTGGCATGAAGAAGTTGTCTTAGCACCACGGGTGCCAAGTTACAGTGGGGTCCCCGGCGAGGCTCAGTTTTAAAAGGAGGCAAAGGTTGATGTGGACGCGGGCTGTTAGAAACCTCTAAATTGGAAATTTTTTAAACAAACCGCGGCTTAGCGTCGGTTGCACGGGGAAGATTGAATTTGTAGTGAATTGAAATGAAACTAAAGAATATGTGCTTGGATTCTTCGTTGGATTTGTGGCCGCCCGGTCATTTTGCGCTGGAATTTTTCGCTTCTCAGATCGGGCGTTCGGAAATGGAGTGTTCGGCCTTGAGCTTTTCCTATGTACGTTGAAAACCAAGAAATGCACAACTCGCTTAAATGCGCTCTTTTCATCAAAGTAAGCGGTCAGATAACAAGCAATACGTTGTGGAAGTAAGGTGAGGTATTTTTTTTTGAGAATTTGACGTATTTTTTTATTCCTTAAAGCGGTCGTAAATATTCCCATACAAACTCTTATAATTCCGCCATGACTGTTCGTGCGCAAGATAATCATCTCATAGCTGGAGCTTGGGCCGCCTGTGGAGAAATCAGGAATCTTGTACATATCAAGTGCGAATCCTTTATAGTTTTGTGTAGCTACATGATTTTTATCTTTTCTGAAACTATTCTATTTTAAGTTAAAGAATTATTCGTTTCCTAGATGGAACTTCATTTGGTTTAATCCGATAAACATATATACTGTATTCTGTGGTAAGGATTTATGGTTCCCTAATTCAAAACACATTTTGGCTTAGTCTAAAATAAGTTTTTGATAATTTTTCACGTCCAAACATATTTACTGTACTCTGGTTAAGAATTTATGGTTCCTTGTTTCAAAACACATTTTGGCTTAGTGTGTAATAAGTTTTTGACAATTTATTATGTCAAAACATATTTACTGTATTGAAAAAGCGAATTTTATCAACGCTGCTGCGCTAGTTTCGGCCCTTTCTTCTCCAATTTGGGCTTTTCAAGGCGCGAGTGCATTCAAATCACCCTCTTCAATGCTATTGAATAATTAATGATGTCCAGGCATTCTGTGCGGTGATTCTGTGCTGTTTAAAAAGTAACAGGAAGTAAATTTTCCCTTAGAATAATGGTGCGATATTTTCTCGTTCCATTTCTTAAATTTCGAGCTAGTGTTAGACCCTAACTATTCACACTTACAGCGACAAAAACACTGCAGTCGAACTTCTGTAATACTAAAGAACTTATGGACGAAGTAAAATGTCAGGATAAGAGATTTGTCCGTTTCATTACTAAGTTCAGAACGGTGTAACTCTTAAGATTGCAGTGTCTATAGAAACATGAACAGGCATACTCGTGCTTCTTTTCTCTGGGTATCAAGAGACCATGATTGTCTGAGATTCAGCGTGCGTTGTCCTTATTAGAGAGGGTCTACATCAGGAACGTTCCTTATTATAAGAAGAAGATATCAGAATTTGATCTGGATCTAAAAAAATTTCAGAGGTGTCCGTAAGGAAAAGTTCAACTGTATCATAAGTGCTTTTGTATTTAACAAAAATTCAAAAACTTTCCCCACGTGTTAGGTAAGTCAGTCTTCAATTCGTAAATTATTTCATCTGTTATTCTGATCCCTCACCAAAAGTTCAACGTTTCAACCAATTTTTTGGAGCATTGCTAAAATGACTAAAGAAATCGTGGTGGACAAACCTAAACTTATATTCTGTCAGACGAGGAGAGCATAATGTATAAGATTCGTTGAGATTTACATTGTACAATAAGGTAGCAACCCCAATTGTGTATATCAGTTTTCCGTAAACGGTTGGGGTAGTTTGATGCATAATTTTAAGACGAACGGTAATTTCAGCAAATACTTGAGCTTGACGAACTTATTTCGACTGAAAAAAAGTTACAATGATTCGCTTTCAGCTATTTTAAAAAAAACTACAAGAATTTAGTCAATCCATGGCTCAAATTGTTTACACAGACTCAATCAGGGCCAAGAATTAAACACGTATTCAAAAAATAAAAATTAATTCATTAATTCCATTTTTAAAAACGTAATCGAGGTAATGGATTTTAAACTATTATGAAAAAATTAAATTTTCTGGAAAGATATTAAAAGTGCAAGGCTTAACTGAATAAGGTGATTTTCGTAGTTAAGACATTTATATGGTCATTCAAGTAACTCATTCATCAATTCTGATTAAACTTTATGCTTTCTAAATACCCTAAACTTGTTTACATCATTGGATCGATATGCATATTCTCTACACTGATCTCTACACATTTACAATGGTAAATATGGAGAAATTGTCCACCAATTCAGAACTTTTCTGGTGGCGGATCATTTCCCTGATTTCATAACCTTTATGAGTGATCATTTTACCTTTCAATGCAGAAGAAGAGGGTTAATTCAGTGCAAAAAAAAAGTAAAAAACCAGACATTCTGATTGGCCAATGATCAAAGAAACTCACAGATAGCCAATCAACCGCGAGCCTTGAATGTCGCAACATTTAAACACGCTGAAAATCTGCAAGCGAAACAATGGCCGGAGCTCTTAGTAGGTTTTCTTTCGTCACCGAAACAACAATTTTGTCGCTGAAAAAAGCTCTAACAACGAAAATACTGTAAAAAGCACCGCTTTTTGGTTGTCTGCTTGGAAAAAGTGGTGATTAGAAGAGGGAGTTGCTAAGGAAATCGAAAATTAGGAGCACAATTAGAACACTTTGCTCGAGCGATTCTACGCCGAAATTAAAAACAAACATGGTTAAACCTCGCAAACGACGATTTCATTTCATCGAAAGTGACTCGAACACGGACTGAACAATTCCTTGAACTGTTTAGCCGGACTTTGAACTTTTTTGCGCCTTAAAGATGCGAAAACATCTTTGTATTTTATTTTTTAGATCGTACGCGATTGTTTTGACCGAACGCACAATGTCATTTGCAATGTTTGAATAAATTATTTTTGCACTTGATACGCGCGCCTTGCTTCTGCATAATTATGATAAGCTAGCTTGTAGTTTTTCATGTGTATTATTAATACGTAATCACATGATTTTTCTCGTAAATAAGCAGTTGTAAAATGTTAGTCTTTAAAAAAATATATACTCGTGCCTATTTATTCCAAATTGCACTCGAAATCATGGGATTACCTATACTTATATACTAACTTTACTTGCATGACTGACACTACTTGAATAATGAGGATCAATTGAAAAGCCACCATAATAAAACTTCTAACAATATACACCCACAGCTTGCTTACTGATATACACTGGCCTAAATGACTAAATCATGAAAATCATATATGTGAACTGCGGTGGAAGAGATAAGTATTGAAGCGACCTTCGCAGCATTGAACACTACTTAACCACTACTACTGAAAAAAAGCAAGAATATCTCCATAAGGTGTCTGACGTCTACCATAACAATTACTTAATGCAATGCCTAAAGGTAATTTACGCAGACGGAAATAGATCTCTAATTCATAAACGTGAATTGTCTCCGTGGTACATCACAGAGTCTTGTTCTTACATTCTAGTAACGCGGTGCACGATTTTACACTTTGGTAATTTTGCAAAAGCAGTTTGGCAACATGTCTCGCATCTTGTCTCTTGGTACCTTCACTGTGCTGTGCTCTCTGACGTGTGTTGTGAAATGTAAAGAAAATGGGTAGATTTTTTATTAATATCTGGGAAAATTTTTAAAACTGGAAATTTATAATGCGTTTGAGCAGGAATAAACGAAAGTAATTCACTTCGAATGCTCTATTGTGACTATTACCAAAATTCCAAGTTTTCAAAATGTTCTACCTTCTAATAGGAGAGTAAAAATGTTTATAAAGCCATTATGAGGATATGTAAATCTCCTAAAAGACAGGTGGGATTTACCTCACGCAAGCTGTTTTAGGCAGGCGGTTGGGATAAAAGGATCATGAGGTTTAGGCTATAAATTCGGCACAAATTCATGTTGCACTCTTTTTAATTTGTTAGTATGCTTTGACGCTGAAGAAAAAACTCCCTACGTGCCGCTCACAAAATTTCATAGTATGACTATGGAATTTAGTCAGCTAAAGTGAAGCTTAATCATCCATTGTTCTCTCAACATATTTACACAACGAAATAATTAAATAAATATAAAATTTCAAAAACCGCCCCCGGACATCTAATTAGTCCTTTAACTGTTGTTTTGAAAATGATTTTCGATTAGGA